CACTGTTTCAGACCAATCGGATGTTACATGAACTGCCTCTTGAAGTCACATAAAAGCAGCGGTCGTCCCCTCCTACACTGACACACACGCTCACCCAAGACTGGCTCCGCCTTGCACCCGTATGGCATTGTTGAAAGTGCGCTGTTCCCTGGTCAGGCAATTTGACCGACTCCCTTGTTCTTGACTAGGTGTATCCATTTTTAATGTTTGCACCTCCGTTATTCTTCACTATATGTTTAATAGTACCGTACTACATTGATTATTGTTTTCATTGGTGTTTGACCTACGAGTTACTATTGGATACGGAGTCAGAGGAGGTATGGAACTCGAAACAGTGAATGTAGGCCATAAAGTAGATCCTGTGATGACCAGCGAGGTGGCGGGAGACAGCGACAGGATAGCTAGAGGGCTGGTTGAGGCCTGGATATATACTAACAAATACCAGTGGGACACAATGAAAGCAGATTAGTTACCCCCTTTTTCAATGGCTAGACAGACCTCTTAACGGTTCCAATAACTGATTCAAGTTTTGGACTGTAAAATTCATGCAACCAGACGAGTGAGGAAGCGTGCAGTACATGAACTAACACTGGTGAAAAGGCCTGCTAATATCCAGAAGCTGGAAGCCTCCCAATAGCTTCCAGCGTGTTAGGTTTATAATAACGAGCAATGTGCTGCTTGGCTGCTAAGGGAGAAGATTCCACCCCAATGCCGACCTCGATATCGCTCTCTTCCCAAATACAACAGCACTTTTTGCGCGTGTCAAGCTGACTGGGACCCGGTCTTCCATCTCCGGTCTTCTTAACTTTGATCTGAATAGACCTGAATGTGCGAGAACACACTGTCTTCAGCTAACGCACACCATGAACTCGCGCAAACCCACGACAGATTTCATCTCGACATAAGAATGACACCCACGCAAATCTAATTAGGCCATTTCGGCAGAGATATAATTGGCATCGCACCTTATATACGCCTAGCCCCAGGCTTGTGTCGTACGGTTAGGATTAATGTTAGGCTTAGGATGTGGGTTAGTTAGGGTAGGGGGTCCAAATAGATTCGACGTACGATTGTATCCGTTTTGTAGGTCCTATTTGATAGAGAATCGACATACAGTCGACAGTGATTCGAAAAAGAGCCGATATACGATTGAACTGAATTGAGCACATCTTGTTTCCCATAGGTTGTGTTTCTCAGTTTCTCAGTAACGCGCGCAAATATTTGTTTGTATAAATAACCATTCCTATTATTTTCTATTTTTATACGCACTTCTTTTTAATTATGTTTTCTTCCCCTGCTATACCCCACCCGTATAACCCCCAAAACCACCCCATGGAGTTTTCACGTGCTGTTCTGAGAGGTAAAGTAGACTTCTACCTCAATCCCTTCCTAAAACTCACCTTCTCATTTGTGTCGGTAATACTGTGCTGTTCTTTGAGGGCGCAGCGACTGGTTGGAAGGGGGTTCATAAAACAAAAACCTATCAGCTGCAGCCGACGCCACCATTGCTTTGTCCGGCATCCTTGTTCAAGGCTAACCGCTTCAAGGTCATCCAATATATCAGTCAGCGCTTTCAGACGCGATGACGTGCGCAGACACGTGAAAGACTTCCAGACATGTACGTCCAGGTAGTCGCGGCTGCCCAAGCGTCATTTGAACGTGCTCCTTTCCCCCTCAC